TCATATCTTTTGAGTAGATGTTTAACCCTCTCAAATGGAGTAAATCTTAAGATGCAGTGACTGTGAACACGCAACTTATAGAGCATAAATACATTTAATAATCAGTGACAAACTGTTTTTAAGAAAGCTAGAGAACTGCACCGTCCCTGGTGTGCTAACATCCATGTAAAATAAGTTTGACTTTCTCAGACAAACACATCAACACAGTTCTCACCAGTTCTTCTTTTGCAGACCATTGCAGAAACCAGCACAAGGACCCCCACAGTTACTCCACAACCAGTCACAACTGCTACAAACCTCCATATACGCATTTCTGCTTTGAAACAATAGAAGCCACAAATAAGAATCCGCTATGTTTCTCATGACGTTAAGGAAAAAGCAGGAAGAGAGTCATGGAGGCTTTTAAACTACAACACCAGTGCACATATAAAATGGCAAACCCAGTATTGCTTTGTAACTGATAGAAAAGTTATTAGGTAAATTAGGTTAGAAACATAATTATATCACTAAATTCAAGTGGCAAAGAATTCAAATAATTTTACACAACACAATAACAAACACTGACCTGAAGCTGTTTCCTGAGGGGTTGCAGGGTTAGAGACTTCTTTAGTGCCAGCCGTGCTGACGCTCCAACCTAAGTGCACAGCCACAAACATTTTTAAACATCCACAATAATGCATGTTTGTATTTTCATGCAATAACAAGAATCTTAAGTCTACCTGTTGTTTCATCACCAGATCCTGGAATTAGAGCAGTCATATTGGTATCTGTTTTTCAAGGGAACAAAAACACATTAACATCAAAACAACATATAAAGTCCATTGCTGTCATGTGCTGAAGCAACTTTATTTTACTTGAACACTGTAGGCTAACATCTGCACAGTTTGCACATCTGCAAAGCAAATTCACACCTAAAAAATATACCTGGGCACTTTTCTCATGCTGATACTACATGCAGATATAATAATATGTGTAGATGGGAGAAACAATCATTCACTGTGTATGGTGATGGAGGATGTGCCACTGTGTGGAGATGGATAGTTAAACTCTCCAATCTTTACAGTGTAAAAACACGTCACTTAAATCTTGGCAGGTGAACTCTGATGTGCCATCTCCAGCAGCTCAGTAGCTGTCAGTGTTTGTAGACATGAGAGGACTTTGGCTATACCTTCACTTAAAATGTAGAAATGACACTGAGACACAGAAACAGTTGATGGAGGCTGACAGTTCAGTGTGACTGAGTCTGTGTCGTTGATCACCACTGAATTCACTGTCAGTTTAGGTGGAAGAGATGCTGAAAATATAAGCATATGTGTTGGATTAAATAACCATTTTTTTCTAATGATAAATTCATAATGGTAGAGGATGCCCACTGAAAATCTTCTAACATGTATTTTGAAGGCTTGATGTCAAAAGGCACTTTTCTGTTTGTGCTGATACTGTAGCAAGACATAATAACATTAGTCCATAGCAGCAGGGTTCACTCACTTCTGATGATGATGGAGGAAACGTCACTGTCAGGAGATGAAGAACCGTAGAGATAAAAACATGTCACTTTAACCTCAGCAGGTGAACTCTGGTGTGTCATCTCCAGCAGCTCAGTCCCTGTCAGTGTCTTCAGACATGAGAAGACTTTGCCTGGTTTTCCTCTTTCAATATGAAAATAACACTGAGACACAGAAACAGATGATGGAGTCTGACAGTTCAGTGTGACTGTTTCTGTCTCTGTGATCACCGCTGGATTCACCGTCAGTTTAGGTGGAAGAAGAGCTGAAAATTAAATATACACACATGTTATATCACATTAAGACTGAGAAAATTCTCAATGAGCGGCTGTGATTAAATGTACAGACCAGAAAACAGAGAAAAGGTGCTGTACATCCTAACTGCCCATGAAAACTATAATATTAAATGCAGGGGCTGACCTTGTGCTTTCTTCTCAGAAAATGAATCTATTGGAGAAGAAAATGTGTTAAACAAGTTGTAATAGTAAGAGAAGATGTAACAGTAAATAGTTAACCATTGATTTTAATGTTGTATTTCTTTCAGCCTGATGTAAAAGTTTAATAAATCATGCTGATACCAATACATAACGAGCTGAGATCATTATCAATCTGCCACTAATACAATGGTAGAAACAGACAAGAGTTTTAACTTACACATGAGGGCGACTAACAGCAGGTGTCCAGCCATGATGAAGCTGAATGATGCTGATGTCCAATAATCCTTTCACGAATAGACTTGTGCCTGACTACAGCACTATGATGTACTAAAGTGGCATTTAGCAGACGTTGCTCTCAAGAAAACCACAGCGAGCATCAGAGGTCACAGGCCACAGAAACACACACACACACACACACACAAATAGCTTTATGAGACCCAGTATGTGTGGCATTGTGTATTTAGTTCACCTTTACCACAGTGTTGACTAACTGCTTCATAGAAACTTAAGTTTCATTTGATTTCTAATTGTCTTTTGTTTTTGTTTGTTTTACTTGTTGCTTTTTCTAAACTGGCAGGACTTCTGCTGACTCGTGCAAAAGTAAAGCCAAACAACTTCAGTTAGACTTAAGATGGAAAACTTAGGCTACAGTAGGTATTTAATGCAGGATTTTACATTTTTGAAACACCTGCACACACTTGTTGTGTAAACAGATATACAAATATATCATTCAGATATGCACAGATATTGCACTTTTGAGAGATATGAAATAATTCAGATTTTTTTGTTTAATAATGGACATAATGTGGCTGTGCTGAACTTGACAGAAGATGGTAAAATGAGGAACTGAAGTTAGGGACCGTCTCAAAAGCGTATGCAAACTAAGGGGCCTTTAGTGATTTTCAATAGCTCTTAATTCTGTTTTCTCATACAAATGTCGAGCCAACTATTTTCATCTGTACCTCCCCCAGTGCATTTACAGTTTTAGTTTTGTAAAACAAAAATGCAACAGGGCCCATTGAGCTTTTTTTTCATCATTGACACGACAAGCCAACTTTACATTAATCTTGTTTTCCTCCAATTTCTACAAATTTCCAATTTTTGTTGGGAAAATTGTGCAAAATGACCCACTGCAATTCTGAATTATATTTTTTGTATTACATCCCGTACTGTTTTGATTTTTAATTGTGACTGGTGACTCAATGAAAATATCTTCTTCTTCTTCTTCTTCTTTCGACTGTTCCCTTTAGGGGTCGCCACAGCGAATCATCTGCCTCCTTCTAACCCTATCCTCTGCATCCTCTCTCTCACACCATCTGACTTCATGTCCTCTTTCACAGCATCCATAAATGTCCTCTTTGGTCTTCCTCTAGGCCTCTTGCCTGGCAGTTCAAACCTCAGCAACCTTCTACGGATATATTCACTATCCCTCCTCTGAACATGTCCAAACCATCTCAGTCTGGCCTCTCTGACTTTATTTCCAAAACATCGAACATGAGCTGTCCCTCTGATGTACTCATTCCTGATCCTATCCATCCTCATCACTTCCAAAGAGAACCTCAACATCTTCATCTCTGCTACCTCCAGCTCTGCCTCCTGTCTTTTCCTCAGTGCCACTGTCTCTAAACCAAACAACATCGCTGGTCTCACCACCGTCTTGTACACCTGTCCTTTTAATTTTGCTGGTACTCTTTTATCGCACATCACACCTGACACTTTTCTCCACCCATTCCAACCTGCTTGCACACACTTCTTCACCTCTTTTCCACACTCTCCGTCACTCTGGACTGTTGACCCTAAGTACTTAAAATCCTCCACCTTCTTTATTTCTACTTCCTGTAACCTCACCATGCCACTCGGGTCTGAGTACGGCTAACCTACATACCTCTCCTTTCCTGGGCATACCTCCACCTCTCTAGATTTTCCTCCACCTGCTCCCTGCTCTCACTACAGATCACAGTGTCATCTGCAAACATCATAGTCCATGGAGATTCCTATCTAACCTCATCTGTCAACCTGTCCATCACCATAGCAAACAAGAAGGGGCTCAGCTCCGACAGCTCTCATACATGTCCGTCACCACTCTAACACACTTCTCTGCCACTCCAGACTTCCTCATACAATACCACATCTCCTCTTTCGGCACCCTGTCACATGCTTTCTCTAGATCTACAAAGACACAATGCAGTTCCCTCTGACCTTCTCTGTACTTCTCCATCAACATCCTCAGAGAAAACACTGCATCTGGAGTACTACTTTTTCTTGGCATGAAACCATACTGCTGCTCACAGATGCTCACTTCTGCTCTCAGTCTAGCTTCCACTACTCTTTCCCACGGCTTCATTGTATGGCTCATCAACTTCTCCCTCTGTAAATGCCACAACTCTGCACGTCTCCCTTATTCTTAAAAGGCATTAGGCATCCTCTCACTCTCTGAGACCTTGAAAAACCTAGTCAAAAACTCTACTGCCACCTCTCCTAGACACTTCCATACCTCCACATGTAGTATATCATCAGGGCCAACTGCCTTTCCACTCTTCATCCTCTTCAATGCCCTCCTCACTTCATCCTTACTAATCTTTGCAACTTCCTGCTCCACAATGGTCACATCTTCTACTCTTTGTTCTCTCTCATTTTACTCATTCATCAACTCTTCAAAGTACTCTTTCCATCTTCCCATCACACATGTGGCACCTGTCAATACATTCCCATCTCTATCCTTAATCCACCTAACCTGCTGCACGTCCTTCCCATCTCTATCTCTCTGCCTTGCCAACCTGTATAAATCAGTCTCTCCCTCCTCACTGTCCAACCTATCATGCAAGTTGTCTTACGCCCTTTGTTTGCTGAAAATATAGAATATGTATTCATATGGGTTTTAAACTAGCTGTTATGTAATAGTAATAATAATAATAATAATAATAATAATTAGTAGTAGTAGTAGTAGTAGTAGTAGTCATAGTAGTTGTATAACACAAAGCAGTAAGTATGGTATTATTGGAAGGCTGTGCGCTAACAAATAAGCATAGCAGTAGGTTATAAATTCATGTACATTTATTCATAATGCGTAGTCACAGAAGGCTCCGAAGAAAAAAAAAATCCAGATACAAAAAAATAAGAAATATCAACATTAATGAGAAAACCATTAGAAAACAAAACAAAAATTACAATAAAGAGTGAAATTCCACTTTAGTTACACAATATAAGAGTAAAACTAAATACATTTTCAATCTTAAACTGAAAAAATGACATGTTTGGAACCCGTGCTGTGGATTATACATCATACATTTTTGTTCTGGTTACACAGTCAACACACAGTTGCTGAAGACAAAAAATTAGCTTGGACTGGTCGTTAGTCATTACAGACAGTTAACAGTTAGTTAACATTAGTTAAATATTCGTTAAAAAAATTTGCTAAACTGAAGGCAAATTAGTTTAGAAAAGAACCAGCGTTGGCGGTTAGCTACCAAGAGTAGCCACTGACTAACCACAGTCTATGAGACTAACTAGCTTACTGCTACTTCTGCTATCTCACTGGAATTTGCACCCATAATTATTTCTACAGTAGTGCCCTCAGGAATAAGGTGAATACAGTATAAAACAGTGTCAGTGTTTCTGCACTGTGCTGTACTTTATCCCCTTCAGGTCTGATGCTGCTGGCTCCTCAGCGATGGTGGCGTACAAATGGTATGTTTCAAACTGGGAAAAGAAAGAAACTGACTTTAGCATCTATTGATATACAGAGCAAATATATTTTATGTTGACCTTCATGTTAGGCTTACATTCTCATTTTGAGGCTCCTGCCTTTTCACTTCCCCAGAACCTGCTACTGAGAAAGACACACAAAGTAAAATGACTGTTTCAAAGTGTAGCATTTTATTGTTAAGACTCCCATGGGCCGATGTGGATACTCTTAACACACATCACCTGTGGTGGCCACACACTGATTGTCCCTCCTCTCATAGAAACTAGATTACACATGTAACCTTCTGTTGTCTATCATGTCAAGAATATCTCTGTACCTATCCATGACCTAGGTGCAAGATGCCATCGAGGCTTAGCTGGCCCAGCTAGGCAATAAGGACAGCTGCAAACAGGTGAGAGGCCACTCAGTTAGTCTGTCAGGTTGAAAGGCTAGCTTTGAAAGAAGAAGAATTCAAAGCCAGGGTCCACTCTTGTAGTGGCAGCCCATAGCACATTAAGTGCCCCAGGAGCATGATAATGATACAGCGTGTTTCGAGGTTCACGTGACGTCAGATAACTCACCCATCTCTCCCAGAGAGCCTGCCATTTCCTCCGACGAGGTCAGATATCATATGTGACAATAGCTGTGCAAGCCGACTGGCAAAGCCACGGCAGCTGGAAGCTACCACGACTCCATCAGCCTCTTAAGGAAGTGCCATGCAGATAACCATGCAGGTATCAACTTCTACAGACACGTGTTGCCAATCAGTGCTTGGACATCACAGGTGATGTGTCTTCAAGCATATCCACATTGGCTGCTCCTATGGGGGTCAAGTCCCCATATGAGGGTGGAGGGTGTAGAGAGATGGGTGTAGAACACTTCCATCTCTTGTCATACAGCATTTTGCTCACATGTGAAAGAGTGTTAGACCTTAGTGAAGGAGGTTATTTTTGTCACAGTGCAGTGGTGGTTTCCCACAAGCAATGGGTTTTTATTTTAGTTTGAGATGCAGGGCTTGTGTCTTAGGTCTGCATAAGCTGATGGTTTCCTCACTTGTTAATTTAGTAGCATCAGCTCTGTTCAACTGAACAAATGTGAAACCACACTGCACTTTAACTATTACCAGGAAAAAAGAACCAAGCCAGGATTTGTGTGTAGGACAACTATGTGGCCAATCTTAACCCAGAAGAATAATAGTGTTAGTTATGGCAGAGAACTGAAGGTGCACTTGCATTTAACTAAATGCTGTGATCTGTTTCATGCTTCACCATCAGAGGCTCAGGCTGTGTGGCTATCAGCACGGTCATTAGAACCTGACACTGAACACATCTGACTGAAGACGTAGCTTTTTTGGTGCTCATATCTTTTGAGTAGATGTTTAACCCTCTCAAATGGAGTAAATCTTAAGATGCAAAGACCGTGAAATGCAACTTATAGAGCATAAATACATTTAATAATCAGTGACAAACTGTTTTTAAGAAAGCTAGAGAACACTGTGTGCTAACATCCATGTAAAAAACAGTTTCTGACATGCTCAGACGAACACAACAACACAGTTCTCACCAGTTCTTCTTTTACAGAGCATTGCAGAAACCAGCACAAGGACCCCCACAGTTACTCCACAACCAGCCACAACTGCTACAAACCTCCAAATCCGCATTCCTGCTTTGAAACAATAGAAGCCACAAATAAGAATCCGCTATGTTTCTCATGACATTAAGAAAAAAGCAGGAAGAGAGTCATGGAGGCTTTTAAACAACAACACCAGTGATATGGGTAAATGGCAAACCCAGTATTGCTTTGTAACTGATAGAAAAGTTATTAGGTAAATTAGGTTATAAATATAATTATATCACTGAATTCAAGTGGCAAAGAATTTAAATAATTATACACAACACAATAACAAACACTGACCTGAAGCTGTTTCCTGAGGGGTTGCAGGGTTAGAGACTTCTTTAGTGCCAGCCGTGCTGACACTCCAACCTAAGTGCACAGCCACAAACATTTTTAAACATCCACAATAATGCATGTTTGTATTTTCATGCAATAACAAGAATCTTAATTCTACCTGTTGTTTCATCACCAGATCCTGGATTCAGAGCAGTCATACTGGTATCTGTTTCTCAAGGGCACAAAAACACATTAACATCAAAACAACATATAAAGCCCATTGCTGTCATGTGCTTAAGTAACTTTGTTTTACTTGAACACTGTAGGCTAACATCTGCACAGTAAGTATGTCAACTTTAAATATTCATTGGCAACCACACATTCATCACAGACTACATGAGTAATCAGACAGCAAACAGAATTTTAGTATTCACTTGACTGACATTCAGGATAATTGTGTTTTATAGACATAGTCAGTGTTCCTCTTATGAACATTAAATATTGTATATATTCACACTTTGTAAGTATCAGGGTGAATCATTAAAAAACTTTAGAATTACATCACCTGGTGCCGGTTTTACTGAAGTAGAGATAAAACCAATAGCGATACTTGGTGTACTGACAGCTGACCCTGGTGAATTAAGAAAAGTACATTTCAAAATACTCAGAAACACATGCATGATTTAAGATTTAATAAAGTCTCACTTAATATGTCTTAAAATGTGTTACCTGATGTTACAGGAGTTACAGTAGTGGAGGCACAAGGCATGCTAACAGTCAGACCTGATGAATAAAACACTTTTAAAACTTTCAAAATAACAAATATAGTGAGTGATGTGTGATAATCATCTGGATTATTTCTAAATGTATAAACTGTCCTACCTGTGGTCATCAGAGATATTGTCACAGTCTGTGTCACGCTTGACTCTTTTTCCACAATAGCTACAATAAAAGAAGATTTGAACATGTCAGTTTCCTGCGAGGAAAACTGCGTGACTTCAGCTGTTATTGCCATAAAACTAGAAACCAGAGAAAATTTACTTTGTCAAATACAATTGTAGCCATGTATATGCACAGGCAGGCTATGTATGTTTTTCATGTGATGGCTCATTCCTCACAATCATTCTGTGACATTTATCTTATAGTACACACGTGTATTTATGTCTTCTCTGACTTACCATTCAGGTTGTATCTGTCACTGCGAGGAGACAAAGAGTTGAGTTCTCTTCCCAAAGTGTAATCACAGCTGGCATCACTTTGTTGAACTGAACGTAGAAGTCTCAGCAAAATATCAATTGTGACAGCAAACTGGCAGAAAGATTGATTTTTTGAGGTCCTCTTCCCCGAGATGTTTCTTGTTAGGACTGACCGACTTGCTTCTCCAAAGTACAGGTTACATTTTGTATCATGATCAGCAGGTCCAGGCAGAGAGCAGGTAAAGAGAACGTGGTCACCATCAAAATGTTGAAGACTCATCTGTGGTTTATAACCTGCAAAAGTGTATTTTAAGTATTTTATTTATTTTGAACATGTTAAAAAACATTTTTTTAAATTAGCTTCACCTATTACATTGGGTGATACATGACACAGAATTTATACCAGCTGAAATGGACAGTAGATTAAAATACTAGACAAATAGAGGTTTCATTTCTTACAGTGTAATATCCTCCAATAAAGGTTTAGATTTATTTCAACAACTTACAGAAACTTTAGGCAAAAGAAAAGAAAATTGGAAAGGGGTCTGTCCACATTGTACGTTAAATCACGGCGCAAGAAAGAAGCTAAAATAAAGTTAGATGAAGATGACTGGTCAAACATATGTAGGACACAATCTACAATGTCAAGCTCAGATCTGTGAAGGGAATTCATCTGGATAATAGTTCAAGGCTCTTTATAACTCACAAAGTTAAAAAATTATACAGCAACTAACCTAAACATGGTCGGTGGTGGAGAATGTGTGACAACATGTCTGCTGGTCATTTTTATATTTTTTGGGAGTGTCTTCTTACTGGGTACATGTGGTTTCATCAGATCAATAATCAGCTTAGAGTTGGATTTTAACTTCAGTGTTATGTATTTGGGAAATGTGCCAACTGGGCTAATAAAGCAGGATATTCATTAGAATATACTATAACCAGGTAGAAGAAAAAAAAAAAGCAATAATCAGGAAATGGCTGAGTGAGAAGTCTCCAACAACCTCTGATTTGATAGAAATAGTTAAGGAATTTTATGTTTTGGAACAACTGACTTTTTCTCTGAGACATGCAACAAAAAATGTGAAAAATACTGGAGAAATCTTGGGAGAAGTTTTAATTCCCCTCATTATTATATGACACACAGAATGGACTTTAGCTTCTGAATGAGTGGAAGATTTCTCCTTCCTAAAAATACCCTGTCTTTCCACAGATCAAAGTCATGGATCATAAGGACCTTTGTGATCTTAAAAGACAATCACGGATGCAAAGGACCCACTGTCCTTGATGCTGCTATGTAACCCTGCTGCTTTTCATTTTTGTTTTACACAATGTTAAGCATTTGCACTTTAACCTATGATGTCACTGCCTGTTGTCCTTGACTTTGTCTATTCTTTTCTCCGACTTGCTCTCTTTCTGTTAGTCTGTAAAAACAAATTTATACCAAAAATTATCCACCATGTCATTTTTGTTGTGCTGATACTGTATGAAGATATAATATCTGTAGATGGAATAAGCAGTCACTCACTGTGTATGGTGATGGAGGATGTGCCACTGTGTGGAGATGGATAGTTTAACTCTCCAATCTTTACAGTGTAAAAACACGTCACTTGAATCTTGGCAGGTGAACTCTGATGTGCCATCTCCAGCAGCTCAGTAGCTGTCAGTGTTTGTAGACATGAGAGGACTTTGGCTGTTCCTCCATTTACAGTGTAGAAATGACACTGAGACACAGAAACAGTTGATGGAGGCTGACAGTTCAGTGTGACTGAGTCTATGTCGTTGATCACCACTGAATTCACTGTCAGTTTAGGTGGAAGAGATGCTGAAAATATAAGCATATGTGTTGGATTAAATAACCATTTTTTTCTAATGATAAATTCATAATGGTAGAGGATGCCCACTGAAAATCTTCTAACATGTATTTTGAAGGCTTGTTGTCAAAAGGCACTTTTCTGTTTGTGCTGATACTGTAGCAAGACATAATAACATTAGTCCACAGCAGCAGGGTTCACTCACTTCTGATGATGATGGAGGAAACGTCACTGTCAGGAGATGAAGAACTGTAGAGATAAAAACATGTCACTTTAACCTCAGCAGGTGAACTCTGGTGTGTCATCTCCAGCAGCTCAGTCCCTGTCAGTGTCTTCAGACATGAGAAGACTTTGCCTGGTTTTCCTCTTCCAATGCGGAAATAACACTGAGACACAGAAACAGATGATGGAGTCTGACAGTTCAGTGTGACTGTTTCTGTCTCTGTGATCACCGCTGGATTCACTGTCAGTTTAGGTGGATGAAGAGCTGAAAATTGAAACATATGATAAATTACATTAAGAAAATTCCTAGTGAGCGATTGTGATTTAACGTACAGTACAGAAAACAGAGGACAAGTGCTGTACAACCGAACTATGTACAGAACTTGTGAAATAAAGAGGCTGACCTTGTACTTTCATCTCAGCAAAGGAATCTGTTGGAAAAATGTGTTTAACGAGTGAAACAGATGTAACAGTGATGTAAATGTATTTCTCTCAACCTGAGGTAAAAGTGTAATGACACACACTGATACCAACACACAACAGGCTGACATTATTATGAATCTAGCTGCACAAATAAAATGTAGCTGTATTTACAATGGTAAAAATAACAAGAGGTTTAACTTACACATGAGGACGACTAACAGCAGGTGTCCAGCCATGATGAAGCTGAGGAACGTGAATGAACCCTCTGCAGACTGTGTGTCTGACTACAGGGACTTTGACATACAGTATTTTCATTTTGCAGAACTTGCTTGCAGGAAAACCACAGCGAGCATCAGGCATGAATCACACTGACAGATAGGTCACAGAAACACACAGGTAGACTCGACATAATAAACCCCAGTATGTGTGGTACTGTATATTTAGATTGCCTCCACCACAGTGGGGGCTTACTGTTTCAGAAAAAATAGTTTTTTGTCACATCTTTTCTAATTATCTTTGCTTGTTTTACTTGTTGTTGTACTTGTTAAGATAGAATACTTCAAAACAGTAAGTATTTAGTGCAGGTTTTTACTGTAGGAGATAGTTCTGAAACACCTGTGCACACTTGTGGTGTAATCGAAACATGAATACATTATTCAAATATACTGTACTTTAAGAGATACCAACAACATCTGAATATGTGCAGTAACATCAGGCACTCTGTGCTCAGCTTGACAGAGATGGTAACATGAGCTTTGCGTTCACAAGGTGCAGGTTAAGTGAACCTCACTGCAGACTTGAAGTTTGGTTTGCTTGAGAGGGGTCTGAGTTCTCTTGGAGTGTTTACATATGCACAAAAAATGCTGAGTCACAGCTCTGACTCCACTTAAAGAGCTGAAAAGGACCAAGTGTGAAAACCCCCTAAAAGGACTGAGTTCAGTCTGTTGAAAAGGACTATATGTGAAAACACTCTAAGGGGGTTTGAGTTTGGTTCGGAACTGTCTCAAAGGTGCATGCAAATGAGCCAAGATGTCAGGGATCAGTTCAGGGAAAGGACCCAGATGCAGAGCAGTACGCAACAAAAGGCGAGCTTTAACAAAGCTAATGACAACATCCCAAAAGCAGGCAGGTAACTGAAAGTCCAGAAGAAAGAAGAACCAAAACTAAACTGAAAACCAGCCAGGACAACACAATGAACTTAGGGTAGGAACACAAGAAACCAGGCAGGACACAGAGCAGGAAACAACTCCATGAACACAAGGATGAACACAGATGCACTGACCAGAAACAAAGGGAAACACACAGGTTTATATACACAGAAAAGTAATCACTAGAGCGAGACACAGCTGGAGCAGAAGGGCATGAGCAAAGCAAAATGAGGACTGGCCTACAACAAGGGTGCAGAGGGGAACACTAGGGTGGAGCAAACAAGACAAATACAGAACAGGTGTGAAGGAGATCTACCCAGAGAGCTATGCTGTTGTTACTTTGCAATATATGTGGTTTAACTTTCTGACAACTGTCAATCAGCTGTCATCTGTTTGTGGCTTACTCGATGTGACACATCGACACACAGAGGATTGTGGGTCAGAATAGCCAGAAAGATATGCTGGCTTGTATACTGCAAAATCAGTCCACATGTAGTAGAACATCCTGGTATTTTTGGCATGCTGCATTTGACACACTATGAATTGTCACATACTAAATCTTTTTTTGGCATACCATATTGTATGGTAGTGTAGGAATTGGAACAGTCTGGGAAAAGGGAAGGACTAACAAGAATGGTGGAAGACAGGTGTGATAGCAAACAGGCAGGAAAACATACAAAGACAGGAAGTTAAAACCAGATATCACACATGAGGAGAGAAACTACAAAATAAAACAGGAGACAGCTTAAACATAAATGAATAACATAAAACAAGGCGTGTTCTGGGCAACAACAATAAAACAATGTCCAGTTCCTCAGGTTTCTTTGAGTGCACTGACCCATTTATTTACACATGCTCACCTTCACGCAGGTAAAACATTATGTCCATAATTCATCTTTGGTAAGTTTCCACTTGACAGTTTCAGAGTCCATCACAGGTACGTTTCCATTCATCAAATTTCAGTTTCAACATGCTACAAACTCTTCATGCTGCCACACTTTACACGGTCAAAAAACGAATTGCTTCCCCCATCACATACCTGCTGCTCATCACCTGCACCTTAACTATATTACCTGCTTTTTCCTGTGCTAGTGCGCCACCCTGTGTACAAACAACAAAACTGCATCTATGTACATGTCTCCATTAGTTAAACCTGAATCAATACAAATAATGTTATTGTGGCTCCAACAGGTGGGTTCAGTTGCATGTTTTATTTATTTAGATCACATTATTTTGATAGATAGATAGATAGATAGATAGATAGATAGATAGATTGCTATCTTACAGCTTGTGTGTTTAGCGCAGTAACATGTGAAGTGAAATGACCCCAGAGAATAAGCAAAGAAAAGCCACAGAAAAATAAATCACGTCATAACAAAAAGTTGTCTTATTCTTGAATGACATAGTTCAATGTGTAAATATCAGTTACTTAAAAAGTAAAACATACAAAGAAATCAGAATAATTTGAAGAATTCAATCATAAGCAGCTGAGACTTTGATGTAAAATCCTACAGTACAAACAATATTAAAATACGGTGACATGCTCAGCCCTCTGCTGGAAGCTAGTGAAACTGCAGGAATAACACCTGCCAACATGACTGGGACCACTCTGACCAGTTGTTTTTGTGCTTCATGGATTTTGTGTTTCAAAGTTTGTAAAAGGGCCTAATGTCACAAACTAACACCAATATTAATGTCCCAGTAAGAGACTGTCCTTAGCCTCATTAATGCAAACAAGATAGACTAGGCCTAAGTGTAAAAGCAGCCTAATGTCTGACAATGTATTTAACTGATCAACTAATTTCTCCTGTGTCTTCTAGTCTGTCTTGTTGTTGTTGCTGTTTTTTTTTTTGTTTGTTTGTTTTAATGTCATTAAAATGAAACAAAAACATAAGGGGGCCTAGGACACTGCCTTGAGGCACTCTGCAAGTGAAAATGCTCAGAGAGGTAACCTCAAACACTCAGTACCTCCCTAACCAATAAAAATGTTTTATTCACACCAGTTGCTTTTAGCCTAACTAGAAAGATTCCACTGTTGTATGTGTGAAAGACTTTTCACAAGTCAACACCAGACTACACATATAACCATCAGCTTCCCTACCTATTAGATCATAAGATACTCTATAAAAGACAAGTTTAAAATTTTCACATGGTTTAAAAACAGATACAGCAAAGCTTTATGTGTCAGTGTGCCTGCAGAGTGCTGTACACCATGTCCTTCAGGGCTGATGGATGTGGCTCCTCAGATACGGTGGCGTACACATGGTATACGTCCAACTAGAGAAGAATTAAACCAACTGTAAGAGCTCTTCACATCTGTAACATCTATGTAGCAAACATATTCAATACTGTGCTTCATGTCTCACTTACATCCTCATTTTGAGACTCCTGTCCGTTACGTTTCTGAGAACCTGAAAGTCAGAGAGAATAACAGTAAGAAGATTGTTTTCAGTCAAGGTTGGCATTTTATTACACCGTCTGTGAACTGCCAAAAGTGTAGTCCACCTAATCTATGTTTAGAATTTGACAGACATCCCCTTTTTTGACCCGCTACACAAGTGCCAGTGTTATTACACTAAATCCGTTAAGGTTAGGGTTCTTCTTCTTTTTTTCTTCTTTTTTTTAAGTTATAAAAGCATATAAATCTAACTACAGTATATTAGTCATACTATAGTATACACCTTCTGGTATGGTTTTAAAAAAATGTAAGAACATTATTCGTTGTATATATTATATCATATGCACAGCATAAAACCTGTTATCTTCAGTGCCGGACCTATATTATTATTATTACTGTTATTGTTATTATATTTTATATTTTATATTTAGTAGTATAAGTATAAGTGCTCATGAGACATCAACACAAACAATTTATCTAAAAAACAATAATAATAACAAACAAGCAATTAAACATATGTGCATATTTTCAAATTTTGTCTACTTCATTTCCCTCATGTTATATATTTTGAATGTCAAAAATTTTGGCCTCTGGGTGGCGCCCCAGGCAGCTACCTATGTTAACCGTAGAAAGATCTGACACTGATTATCTATCCTGTACAAGCACTTTATACTACATTCATGTAGATATAAAGTGAAAGCAGCTCACCAGCAGGACAGTCAGCAACAGGCACTGAGGTGATCACACTGTATGCTTCATCATTACCTGCTGGTAACTAAAGATGACAGAGAAGAGGGGAGAGGAAGTGGGAGGAATTCATGAATAACTTCATGGATAACAGATTAATTTACCTTGAGGAGGCTTGCTATTCAAATGTTTGATCATTTTAGGTGGTGGGGTTGTTCTGACAGAGAAAGACGTTTTAATTACCGATCCTCCATGGTCAAGATTTTTCATGCACATTAAGTCATCTGCAACAGAAGGTAAAACACACCATAACACATTAGAAGACGATATAAATGCTGTGTATTGTAAATATGAATAATACAGTGTTGTTGCCTGGTGCACATTACCGGAGACATTGGCTCGTGTCCTATAGAGAAATGAAGGGGAAAGTTTTAATACATAGTCTGTCCTCATTAAACAAGAAACAGGATACATTGTAGGATGATAAGCATAATATCCAGAGGGATATAGTTTATGTGGCAACTCCTCTAAAGCCAAGGATTTATTGGGAAGATCTGGGTAGGTAAATGAGCTCTCTCCATTGATTTAAAGCCTCATGTCCTGCTGCAATGGTTCTGCTCAGTGGCTGATCTGGGCAGCTACTTGTAGTGAAAAAGATTAAAGTCTGTATATGTGATAAAATTTACCTCGCTCAGCTGTTGCTGAAAAGGTGAAAAAAAATCTTACCTCTTTCTAGAACATCTTCCTGAAAAATACAAAATAAAAATGATTTTTAAAAGAGAGCAGAGCGTTGGTTGAGGCAGAGCACTGTGCTGATTGGACATCAGCTGTTTCTGATATGATTCACATTTATAGGCTCGTTCACAGCTGTGTGAGTTGTAACATCCAGTCATATTCTTGTATGTATTATAAGGCTCTAAAAATGTTACCGAAAGATCTGTGCATTTCCAGCAAATATTGAAATAATAAAGGGTTTCAATATGATATATGCAGTGTCACACAG